AAAGAGTAGGCTTTCCTGATGGAAAATCAATGACCTTGATCTGAGCATTTAGTGGGATAAAAATATAAAACATAAATATTGGGTAGACGTACTGGGATATTTGCCAAACCTTTAGCTCTGGATTTCAACTGTCCCTGGAATATGTAGTAGTTAGAAGTCATGTCCAACCCATCATGACCACATGGACAATGTTCCTCCAGGCCTTCCTGTCCTCTACCATCCTCTGAAGTCCATTTAAGCTCACGCCTACTGCTTCAGTGACCCATCCAGCCACCTCATTCTCTGCCGTCCCCTTCTTCTTTTGCCCTCNCTTTCTTTTCACATCCAGAGAAATATTCTGCCTTTTCAATATTTCCTAGGATATTTCATTTTTCTGGGAGAGGGCTGGATGATAACTTCCCACAGAAGCCTCGCCAAAATAAACCAAAAGAGGATTTTCTAAACTAAAAATCCATCCAGCACCTAGATTTATATCTGTTAACCTGAGAGTTTGAGGCACACATCGACATAGATCTGTGCAAACCTTAACATCCGTGGTTTGAACTTGGATTTTGTGGGTGCTTCACAAAAGATGCCTATGTAGTTTTTTTTTGGCTGCCATACAGAAATAGTTTACCCATGCTTGCTTTTGTATAGTTTGCATGACTTTCTGATACAAGAGCTCTTGTACTCCTAAGAGATTTTCCTCCATCTTCTAATCAGGCATGGTCCTGGTGAGCATGTTAGCATGTGAGCTACAGTTAGCAAGGTGCTGCCACCTGGTGAGACATCTTTAGATTGATTTAAACAGGAGACAACAGTGACTTTTTACTATTATGGGGAAACGGGGTTTCCAATTGTTATTTATTTACTTGAAAGATTTGGTAGTTGACAGCAGGAATTGGGCAAAACTCACTTAGCAAACGCCTTACTTAGCAACTGAAATTTTGCTGAATTTGGGCTCAACTGAGATTGTAAATTGTGGACTACCTACACAACTGTGTTTCCATTGCGCCTTCATAAACCTATAATCCTCTCCCTTCTTTTGGCATATATTCCAGTGCAATCTTCTCTTGTACAGATCTGTTCTTAAATTGGTTGCTGGGCAAATCTGAGTGGTATGTTGCTTTGTGTTCCTCTTTGCTAAGTCTCACCACCGTTAGATGCTTCAAAAAGTGTATAACATTCTAGTCTATTTCCATACATACTTGTACTTAAAATAATTTGTCCGGCATCTGTCATTTGGCTTGTCTGCTCAAATCATAGATCAGGAATGTGACTGCGTTCCCCTTCGCTGCAGACTCGTACATTAAATACATTTAAATAAAATGCTTGGTTTGCATTTTGAAAACAAAGCAAATTTTGGAGGACTCTGATTATCATCTCTCAACTTGGAAAGGGTGCATTTATCCCTGAAAGAAGAGCAGCTTTAGTGTTATGGAGGCAGCAACGGATCATTGACCCATGGCAGTCTTCTGGACAGTCTATGGGGATTGGGGAGGGGGAGTTTAAGAGATTGAGTTGGAAGGGACCTTGTAGATCATCTAGTCCAACCCCCCCTCCCAAGCAGGAGACCCTATACCATTTCTGACAAATGGCTGTCCAATCTCTTCTTGAAAGCCTCCAGTGATGAAGCTCCCACAACTTCCNTTCCCAGCATGAGGCTCTTCTCCAGTGAGTCCTTCCTTCTCATTAAGTGGCCAAAGTATTTGAGTTTCATCTTCAGAATCTGGCCTTCTAAAGAGCAGTCAGGGTTGATCTCCTCTAGGACTGACCTGTTGGATCGTCTTGTAGTCCAAGGGAACACAGGAAATTCAATATATTGCAAAAAAGTAAATCTAGAGTGTGACCATTATAAAACTAGGATACTAAGTTCTCGCGTCCTCCTTCCTTCCTTCACCTCTGTTGGTCCTTCTTGCTGTGTATTTCAATAACAGCAACTTCCCAGGGATTTTTCCTAACCCATGTAAGAAATGCTGGGAATTGGACTTGCCTGCTAGGGGTCAAGAGCCCTGACCCTGATCCCTAACAGCTGGGGTTGGCAGTGAAGATGAGTCATAGGCCAGTGATTCTGTAGCTGAGATTCTTTATAATTCCCCACCCTTCTCCAAAGCAGACAATACAGATGTCAGTCACCCAATAACCCATCCGTCTTGCCACAACCAGAGTTTAGACTTACGAGTGAGGCCTCTTTTAGATACATTATTTCTAGACGGGGATGTGGCTGCATTTTTAAATACTATTTTAAAGCTCAATTTTAAAGTTTTCTTGGCAACAGCATAGAAGTGGTATGCTCTTGTCTTCTTCTACAATGTTTGGACATCCCACTTTAGTGTTCCTCGTACCCGGTATTAACTAAGAGAGTTGGGACCAGAAACTCCATTGTTACGCAACGTTGCAAGTTGAAAAACCGGATGATTGTGCTGGTTAACCATGACAGTTGTGGCAGGAACGACTTGCCTCCAGAAGTTGTGGGTCAGTGGTGAGTTCCAGATCCCGTTCCAACTGGTATGGTTGAAACTTGCCTAGTGTCGTCCACATGGACACGTACAGCGTGCGCGCACATGCATCGTACCTGCCAGCGATGCCTCCACAAGCCTTCGCGACGCTCCAGCTGCTCAGCAGAGCATCGCGCAGGTGCTGTATGCGCCGTGCATGGAAGCGCCGAAGGCTTTAAAGGACAGGTAAAGAGCTTGGGCAAGTGGGTGGGCCCTCCGGAGCACTGTACCGGAATGGTACCCGGTGCTCCAGGCAGGCTCCGGTATGCCCGTACCGGGGTGTACCGTCCAATTTCTTCCGGACAGCCATTTGTTCTGAATGGTTATAGGGTCTTCTGCTTGAACAGTGGGTTGGACTAGAAGACCCCCAAGGCCCCTCCCAATTCTGTTATTCTGTTAAATGTTAACCTTCCCAATCTAATATTCCACCCACCCTCCCCCAGAGTTGTGTTAGACCACAACTCCCATTATCTCCAACCATCATAAGTTAGAAAATCAATGGTTGCAGGCATCATGATGAATCTATTTGTAAAATAAATCTTTTGGATGAAAATCTTTTGCATCCATATTGGCTGTGTCTCTAGCTATAAAACTGCCCCTCCTGTCTCCCCTGCTATCACCATAGGAAGTCGGGTGAGGGAAGAGGAAAAAAAATGATGCTGCCAAAGCAGAGCATTTGTTTTATTAAAACTACCCGGGGAAATTGTCTGCAGAGTTTATCTTGCCAAAAGAAACATGAGAACCGTATCACTAACAATTGTTAGGACGCTCTTCTGCAAATGCCATACAAGGAGAGGTTTTATCAGATTTTTTTGCAAATGTTTAAAGGGCAGTTAATAATCAGGCTTGCACGAGCTTGGAGCCATCAAGGTAAGAGAACACCAAGTATGGTTATGCTGTGTTGGGTCTTAATAGCATCTGTGGCTTTGACAAATCTTAAGAGGGCTTCACTGAACTCAACAGAGCTCCAGCAAGACCGCCTCGCCTCGTATGTTTTGAGAGAGAGAGAGAGAGAGATGCACAGCGTAATCCACTTGTAAAAAATGTACTTAACTGTGTCTTGTTAAGCATTGGCCTTGTTCTCTTGGCCAGACTCAGGGTAACTCGGAGCGCACGGATCTCCAGGTTCTCCACGTTTTGAGACTTTAGGGTAATGAATGTACAAACGTACATCATTAACATTCTGTAAAGCATTCTTTTTCTCCCCTCTCCTCCCCCAAAAAACCTGTTTTGGGCTGCCTGACTAGAATTCTACCTTTGATTAACAAAATAGTATTTGCAATGTTTATAAGGGACCAAAGGATTCATTTGGTTTGTTGTCCATTTGGAAACAAGTATGTTAAAAAAAAAAGTTTTGAAAATGTTTTGGTACCAGTCAACTCTGAATTGAACCTGGCTGAAGCCATCTTGTGCTGCTTCATAGTTGCCATGCGCTATGGGTGGGAAGGATGAGGGGGAAATAGCTAGACCGTCTTGCAGACAAAATAAAGGGCTCTCCCATGGGAACCAAGGTCATCCCAACAGGTGGCAGGAGGAGGAGCAGAAGTGGTGAAGGGAGCCTGCTAGCTGCTTTGATTGGACAATGTGACCTGTGACATCTGGGGAGGGAAACATTTGCTCTTTTAATTACATGGTAACCGCAGGAAACTTTTAGAGTTGGTTTTCACTGGCTGTGCCGATATGATGTGTCCAATAAACAAGTTCTCTGAGGAACGTTCCTGCCTTGGAGTTCTGATTTTTTGGATTTGTTACTCAGAACATTGACAGTACCATAAAGCTGACCACATTTATTGTGATACAAATCCGGGAAAATTAGTGCGGTTCTTTCTAGATGTTTAAGACCGTGTGTTGTCTTCAATTTACAACTGTTTGGGTAGAAACTGTTCAAAATTTCAGTGGCACTGAGAAAAGTGCCTTATTAGGGACTCCTCGCACTTATGACTGTTGCAGAATCCCCATCATGGTCATGCGACCAAAATCCGAACCCTTGACAGCCCGGATGTATTTTTTGATGGTTGAAACAACCTGAGGTCATGTAATCAACATTTGTGTCTTTTCCAGGTGGCTTTTGACAAGCAAAGGGAATGGGGAAAGTCAGATTCGTTTAAAGACTTCACAAGTCACTAAACAACTGATGATTCACTTAACAACTAAGGCAAAAAAAAGAGTTGTAAAATCTGATATGATTGCCTTGCTTAGCAATACAAATTCTGGCCTTAATTATGTTGTAAATAAAGGAATCCCCTCTGTTGTGTCCCTAATCCTTGCCCCAATGGCAGGAACTATAAGTCAAACTGGAGACGAGGGTATTTTAATCAGTTGTCTCCTCCTCCTCCTCCTCCTCCTCCCCCCTTCTCCTTCTCCTTCTCCTTCTCCTCCTCCCCTCCCCCTCCTCCTTCTTCTTCCGCCCTAGCCATCATAGGAGGTTGGCGATCATGTTGGCCATCCTGTTAACATTATTAATAATTATTAATATGTGTTTATTGAACTAATGGTTTTTTTCTTTTTATTTTTTCCCTTTAGCGTTCTGGGTCATGAAACTTAATCCACAGCAAGCTCCATTGTATGTGAGTAAACCATTTTTTTCTTTTCAATTTACATTTTCCATCTGGGGATTTAGACATTAGGAAATCGTTATGGCTTATCAATCACTGAATCAGGTGCTGTCAGTTGGATAATTTTAATAATTAAAACCTGTGGTGTAATGGCTGCAGGAGTGTTGGCAATATTTGTGCCTCAGCTTGGAATGCTTGTGAGCAGAATGTAGGTGAGCAAAATTGTGAACAGTCCTCTTTGCAAGCAAGGACATGTTCTCCTCTTTCTTTGGAGTTCTCCTAGATACCCTGATGTGGGTAGACCTTTGACTTGGTTGCCTTTTCAGCCACTATCTTATGATCTTATGGGCACCAAAAGTAAAGTTATGGGCACCACAACGATTCCACCAATAGTACTTGATTATTATAGGATGTATGAACACAATCTTGAAAGCCCGTTTGCAACCTTCACTGAGCCTTTTGAAGGACAACCAGATTCAAGCAAGGTTCTTCTGACTTCTTTCTCATACTTTCCACTTTCTGATCAATTGTTTTGCCTCCCCTACTTCTCAAAGCCGGAACTACATTCCTTGCTCTCCAAAGTTTCTTCACTTGCTCTCCAAAAGACCCAAATCTCCATGAGGTTTTGACAACCTCATCTCGAAGAGATCACATTTATAACCTGCTGAACCTACATTTATAACCTACAGATTCCTGATGATTTACAACAATAAAAGCATTATCTCTGCCCATCCTACATCTTCTAACAAAATGAGCATGTTCCAGGCTCTCTCTTTAAAGCAGTGGTGCTTGATGGGACCTATAGCCATGCCTTTTTTTGTTACATTGCTTACCCATTAGAATAAGTGTCTTTTGTATGCATACTTCCACCTCACAAACATGATTCAGATGTCCTCAACCTTGTTGAGCCATATTCTGGAAGATGAGTATATAATTGATGAACCCCAGCTATACAATGTTGACATATTGTCTTATGAGTTTCTTTTTTATTGACAACTAGCTGATAACCTGGATATTTATTTATCCCAACCCTCCTTCCGTGAATGTTGCTGCAATTTTTAATGTTGGGTTTCCCCCACTTTACCAGAGGAAGCCCCCTTGTGGAGTACTGTTTAGCCATTACCACGGCAACTCCACAGCGCAGTACAGTAGAATTCATTTTAAGAAAGGACGGTAGAAGCCATTTTAAGGCACAACAGGCTGTATCTTAACAGAACACATACCCTGAGGAGTGTTAGGGGTGTTTTAACCCCACAGTATTTGCTTCCAGAGAGTAAGTTATCTGTGTACCAGGTTTGGTTGAAATTACTCAAGGCGTTCCAGAGTTATGCTGGAACAAACACACACACACTCATGTATGTATGTATGTATGTGTTTTATTTGCAATATGGGGTGGCCTTCTTGATGTACTTTACTCAGAGCAATGATTAGTTGAGTCAATACATATAAATATATAAGTCAAATAACAGAAAAATTAAGATCTCCAGAGAAAAGGTCAACCTTGATGATTGTGTATCTGGCTATGTTTGCTTGGGATACATTTGCTTGGAATGTTGAAGAAAGGACCCTGCATTTCTTCTGTTATGACAGGGCCTTCCTTTATTAATCTCCTTTGATAAAAAAGGAATGCTTTATAAGCTAGGCTTCTTTTGATCCACTATTTACCTTGTGGCAAGATGTAACCCAATGGAGCGGTGGGAGGGAAATATTTCTTGGATGACAAAGGAAAGTCTATATTTTTACAACCAGGACTGCATCTTCAAATGCCTGAAGGTGATTCTGGAAGTCAATCACAGATGTAGCTGCTCGTCTGTCATCCTTTTTTTATATGAAAAATATTTGGAAAGTAAAAGAGGCAGTGCCAGAGGTTCAGGGACAATGTCAAGAGGGATTTGTCTGTAGGGCAAAGAACAAAAAGGATGCTCCATGTTTGAACCATCTTTACTTGTCTTAAGGGACGCTGTGCCTCAGTGGCTAAGATGCTGAGATTGTCGATCAGACCAGGGGGGCCTTTGCCCAGGTTCGCCTGGTGCACCAGTTGCGGCCCTATCTGGACCAGGAGGCACTTCGAATAGTCA